CCCCAAAACCCCAAAACCCCAAAACCCCAAAACCCCTTTCACTAATTCAAAAGTTGATCTACTAAACCATAAATAAAATTTTATTTAAGAATGAGCTGGGGAGCCAAAGCTAGGGCCATGAACCTAGACCCATACAAGTTCCAGAATACAAACCTGGAAGGCGAGCGTGGGAGATACACACATACAGCATTTGATCAAGATGACTCTTTGGATATCAGACGTCAAGGCACTAAAGGCCAGAAGAGAAGTATTAAAGACATATTTGAGGATCCTGATAATACAAAGGATAAGTCAAGACCATCCAGATATGACCCAGATTCCTCCTTTGGAAGTCCTGGCAGACACACTGGGTCTCTGTTAGATCAGAGACATACGTTAGGTATGTACTATGATACACAAGCATGCGATACCATATAGATAACACTCGCCAGGGTAATTTCTCTGCTACCCTCTTTATTGATCTATCTGAACAATTACTAGTTGTTAAATTTATTTCTTAAACTTATGAAAAATTTATTGTTTAAAGATAACCTAACTTTACTTGGGAACTTAACATAAAGATACTTTGATTATTAAGATGTTGATAACATCTTCTTCATGTCATGGCTGTAAAATCCTCAGATTCTGAGGATTCTAGAAGGTTAGTTCAGAAAAATGCTAAACTTCAATTTTATTGCAACTTAAGAACTTTTCAGCTGCTAAGTCGTTCATTATTCATTAAATTTCATTTCTGTCATAAGAACTATACAAATTTGAAGTGGTTTTAACCAAAGAGGTTTTCAATAAACATACAATTTTTGCCAAACCTGTTCATATAGGAACCGGAAAGTACTCCTCATCTCTGGAAGGAAGCCCTTCTGATTTTGAGAGGAAAAATGGCCTCTCAAAAGTAAGCAATGACAGAAAAACAGTAAATATTAACGAAAATTTCAATGAAATCCAGCCGTATGATCCTGATGATTGCACAGGAGCTGCTGGGGACGAGAAGAATCCCTTATTAAGAAAATTCTTGCTCAAAGAATTGGACAAAATTAGAGGAGATACGAGGAAAAACAACACCAATTTGAGTAAGAATATTTCAGATAATGAGGAGTTCTACTCAAAGCAGATCAGTGATCTTCGCAAGAAGATCAAGCAGGACTTTGTCCCTGCTTCTGAAGTTCAGAAGTTGGTAGATCATGCTGTTGAGAAGAAGATCATGATGATGCATCTCAAAGATGATACTGATAAGACCAAGAAGGGAATGACAAAGGCGCAGACTCAGGTTCAAACTTTAATGAATAACTACAAGCAATGCCAGAAGCAAATCAAGGAGCTCCAGAGCGACATTGATGACCTCCACAAAAGAATTGATGAGACAGAGAGAAAGCACGGCATTCAACAAATGGATATTGAAAAGAACTTTAGAAATGCAGACAAGGAGATCAGCGATGCGAGAGAAGACGCTATTAGTTACACTGACTCTGTAATCGTCCAAGTTGAAACCCGCATGGACACTATTGAGAACAAGCTAAAACGTGACAGGCCTAAGCCTGAAATAGTTAAAGGGTCTAATTCTGATAAAGTAAGGGCTGTAGAACCCTTCCTTGCTGATATTAGAAAAGAACTCCAATCTGAGGTTAAGAAGGTCAACACCAAGATCAATAAAATGGAAAATGATCACAATAGAAGAATAAAAGATATCAACAGTATCTCTGATAAAGCTGATACTATCAAGAAGACCAATATCAAGGATCTCAAGGATTTATACCAGAGATTGAGTGAAGTTGAGGACAAAATTGAATCTACTGACATGAATGTCAGTAAGAAGGTCAACCTTCTCAGTGCCAATAATGCTGCAAAGCCAGTCCAAGCTACACCCAAGATCGATACAAAGTCTATTGAAACAAGGATCGAAAGACTTGAAACTATTTCTGTTCGCCATGGGAAATTATTTGATGAGTTAACCCCAAACGTTAATCTACTTGTCAACCAAACGAAAGAGCTGAAGTCTAAAGCTAATATTGAGCCCAAGGCCATTGAGGAATACACAGAGGCGATAGCAGGGGATCTCAGAAAAGAATTCGAAGAGAGACTCTCCTCAGCTGGAAATAACCCACAGAATCTTGCGCCTAAAGCTATTGAAGAATACACAGAAGGTATCGTAGCTGATCTGAGGAAGGAATTTGACGATAAGATCATTGCCCTGGAGAAATCCGTGCCCACAGGTAGTGATGCTGAATTTAGAAAGGAAGTTTTCAAAGAAATTGATGGCATAAAGAAGGCAGCTATCGAGGATATTAGACAACTTGATGAGAACCTCAAAACTTTAGCAACTGATTTCAGTATTTACAGAGAAAGAAACTCACCATGTAGACATCATGACAAAATTACAGTCATAGAAGAGGTACCAATAAGAAGACCTGGATCTATGAGCAAAGTGATCGTTGAAAGTTCTGCAGACACTCCCATAAAAAGCGATTTTTCAGCAAGATATGATGGAGATCGAAGACCAATTCACAGACAATACTCTCCAGTTCATTCTAACGGAGTTGTCTACATGAGTTCAAAGAAGTCTCTTGATGCGATGGAAAGAGAACCTATTGGAGGTGATGGAAGAAGGCATATTTCTGGCTCTCCAAAGAGACACATAGAAGATTCAATGTACTCAACTCCAAGTCTTGGAAACAAAAATAGGCAAATTATTTATAACTCAACTGGAAAAGAAGGATTAGATTATAGAGATTCAAGATCTCATGCTTATGGAAATTATGAAGAAACCAATCACAAAAGATACCAAGACGATCCTAATTACTCTTACCCCAAATACCAATCAAACACTAAAAATGTCTACCTAAAAGATGAAGAAGATTTCAGCAGAGACCTCGACTACGACCCTCCAAATCTCTCTCCTGATTACAAACCTGGAACTACATCTACAAATGGGGCAAAGAGGAAGAAGGCTTACAGCTCAAATCCCTCATCCAATGCCAAAAATTAACCTGATCATGCCAACTGCGCCTTCCCTACAATCCTTAAAAATTTACCCAACCTAATTTCCAACACTGTTCTTCCCCCAAGGGGTTTTGGGGTTTTGGGGTTTTGGGGTTTTGGGGTTTTGGGGTTTTG